ACAATCTAAAGGAAGGAATTTAAACTTACCAGATGGTGAGGGGTTCTGATTTGAATCCTTTCTTGAAACCATTTGGCTGGATGAAGAAGGTTCGACTGCCTGTAATGTGAATTGGACAAAAGATGACAGGAAGATGCACAACTTAGATGGTAATATTCATTAGAATCAGGGCTCCAGAGATGGAGTCAAACTAAAAAGAAAGGAGATTCAGAAGATAAGTGCAGATTCCGTCTACCTGTTCCTGAAATGTTTGTGTCTCATTGGAGCTTCTCAACCTCCATTCAACCACTGACTGTATCTTCTCAATGATGATTTCCTGATTCAGAAGGCTTACCTGCATAACAAAAGAGTTTCATTTTCTCGATTAAAAAAAGTAAATATTTGGTGTTTTAAAGGTTGACTGAATTTTCTAAATAATCTCACACAACCCTAACACTAGAAACACATACCTCTCTCTTTGTCGGGTGAACATTCACATCAACATGTTCAGGTGGTAACATAATTGACATGTATATGAAGGGTTTTGATGCTTTTGGCAATGTGGCAGCATAAACAACTTCTAGAGCTCTCTTCAGAGCGGTGCAATCAACCAATCTATCTGTGGTTTTAAGAAAAGAAAAACAAACAGTATAAGTCAAAAAGAAGAAAAACGAATAAGAAAACATATCAACAATTAGGGAGACTACTAATATAAATAACCTCCAAGGCGTGAAATTAGAGAACTGTTACCTACGATTTACAATATTTCCAAAATTCAACTTAATGTGCTAAAATACACACTAAATATGAAATAATAATCTTTAATACTATAATTTTCTTGTGTTGATATGGCATTCCATGGATAGTTCATACCATTTATATAAAGCACCATGGTTATCTTCTTGGCAACATAGTTTGAATCGGAGATAAAGCCATCCATCTGAAAAACGGAGCTAGAAGGATCTTTATCTGAAGCTTCTATTGTCATCAGACTGCGAGCAACAGACACCCCATACACCGATCGAATTGCATCAATCCTTGATGCCGTGGAAACAGAATTAACATCTGCTCTAGCAGCTCCATGCTGATAGTTATAGCATAAAAAAAGATTTTAATCGGGATTTTGAATTTCTACCCATGAAAAAGATCGGTGAAGTAGAAAGACAAGTTCCTTAGTGAGTGAAACAGCAACCTACCTTTCTGCAGGAGAAGCTAACATTCATATGATGAATTGCAAACCGGCTTAGCAAATCTACAATCTTTGAATAATCATCAGCAGAATTTTGTAGCGTCTTTCTCCGGGCAGTCATGTTATAGAACAAGTTCTCAATCTGATAACAAGTAACACCACTTAATTCACCCGTAAAGATAATTTCATCCCATTAAACCAAAACATAGAAAGTAATTCATCACATTTGGCAGGCATTCAACGTCCAGCAAAATGGTCATTTGCCTTCTTTCCTTTAAACCATTTGGTTTTTTTTTTTTTTTTTTTTTTTTTTTTTTTTTTTTTTTTTTTAGTTTATTGGGCAAATTTTAAAGTTAAACTGCTCTAATTGTTAACAATTTAAGACTAAAGCAAACCAAGAGCAAAATTGTTGTTCACACCGTTATTTGAGTTCCTTTTACAGCAGCGCACGCCTTCGGTTCGTGCTCCATTACACCATCTTTATAAGATACCCTGAACCCACAAAATTATAATTATTTCAAAACTAAATCATAAATTACAAGTATAACACAATAATTATCACTAAGATTAAAATGAAAAGGCCATTTCTTTCTATGAACAAATCATATAATTTTCTGGGAATTTCATCAAACAGGTAATGGGCACGCACCTATAACCATGCAACTGGCCCTTGGTAATGGTGGTGACGGTGACGTGAGCTACGTACGTCATGCTGGCAAGTGCTTCTCCTCTGAACCCCATCGACTTTATCGACTGCAAGTCCTCAAACGCCGAGAGTTTCGACGTCGTGTGCCGCTCACACAGGATCGGCAGGTCCTCATACTGCAATGAATCGTAAATTCGTAAATAAATTTAGAAATAATTCAAAATTTAATAAAATGGAAAAAATGAGTGGAGAAGGGACTGACGCGTATGCTGTGGCCGTCGTCGGAGACTTGGGATGAGTTTGAGGCCGCCGTCCTTGACGACGACGTTGATGGAGGAGGAGCGGGCATCGAGGCTGTTCTCAACGAGCTCTTTGACGGCGGAGACAGGGCGTTGGATGACCTCGCCGGCAGCGATTCGGTTCACCACAGACTCTTCTAGGCGGTGAATTTTGGGTGGCTCCGTCGCGACTTGCTCTTCTTCTTCTGCCTCAATTTCCATTTCCGTTGCACTGCACTTGTTTGGAAGCGCCAAATTTTCCCGGCACCGCCAAAATGAAGAAGAAATGAGTGTAATTATATTTATTTTTTATTTTTATTTTTTATATTTTTTTGGCTCAATTGACGAGGGTTTGCTACTTTTTAACGTATTTTTCTTTATTTGTAAATGTGATCTTAAGTTCAATTATTGCAAAGTAAATTTAAATTGTATTATTATGGTTAGATCAATGTAAGACTCCACTCATTTTTTCAAAAATAATATAAAAAGAAATTGCGTTACGAAAATATTCATAAATGTAATAACAATGAAAGAAGTAAATTTGAGATATAAAAATTATATTTACATTTCACAAGTTTTGGGTAATAAAGGTGTAAAGCTCCTAATAGCGTTTATAGTAGACAAAAAAACCACTTAGAGCCGAAGCCAAAAAAAAAAAACCATTGAGAGCATCTCCAAAGGAGATGTCAAATATAGCATGTCAAAATTTTATTTAATAGCTGATGTGGCAAATTAAACACAAGTGCTAAATTCTCTTTATTTTTTCCAATGGATGTGTCAAATATTTATTTTATTATTTTATTGAACCTAAAGTTTCATTAACTATTAAAAAATAATCAAAATTAGTTTTAGTTTTTATTTTATTGGTTGTTGATGGGACTCATGCATTAAAAATTAAATTAAATATATTTGACTTCTTCTTTGTTTGTTGTCAAAATAGGCAACTGGAAAGTAATGAGTCAAATGACTCACATGTCACATCATAATTCATTAGAGAATACTTAAATATCTTTTAATCATATTTGATATATTTGACATTTCCTTTGAAGATGGTCTAAAAAAGAACAATGAGAGGCAAGAGCTTGGTCAAGGTGACTTAGAAAACACGGTAAACTTGAGTTAGTCTATGAATTAGCCACAAAATTTCTTCTTAAAATAAACGTGACGAAGTTCACAAGTTTAAACCATATGTAAAATTCACCAAAAGTATTCACTAATTCACCAAGAGTGTAGTTGTTGCTCGCATCTACAATTATAAGAGATCAAATGTGAATTTTCTAATTTATAGGCTAGAATTATATGATTCGAAGCTCGCATTCAGTAAATAAATAAACAAGTAATTCTCTTTTTATTATTCTCAAAATTTTCAAAAATTTGACCATTTTTCATACTAAGTTTGATTTTTTTTTTGGCACTTTTGTACTTTCGTTAATTTCTTTTGTCAAATGCTCCGTTTATAAATTAATTGGCATGACTTTAGTCGACGCTATCACGTTATGAATTAATGATCATGTTAACAAAAGTATGAGTTTTTACCTAAAACTTGTAACCTCGCAAAGAAATTTCATTACATCCTACACATTTAGTGTTGTGAGATTTTATATTCAAAGGCATCGGTTCAAGTAATAATAAATAGGCTAAATTGGATTGTTCATTCCTGTGGTCATAAGACACTTGCATGATGACCCCCGTGGTGAAAAAATTAGGAATTAAACCCATGTGGTCTAGAATGTTAGCAAATTTAGTCCAAAAGTAAGATTTCTGTTAAATGATTGTTAAAAGTTAGGGTAAAACTGTATTTTTAGTTCCAATTAACATTGAATTGGGGCTTTTTTTTTATTTAAAAAATTAAGAATTATTTTTTTTTGTTAATTGTTATAAAAAAATTATTTATTTTAATGTCAATTGGAACTGAAAATACAGTTTTACCTATACTTTTAACAGTCATTTAACAGAAATCTTACTTTTTGACTAAATTTGCTAACATTCTTGACCACAGGGGTTTAATTCCTAGTTTTTTCACCACGGGTGTCATCATGCAAGTTTCCTATGACCACGGGGATGAATAATCCAATGTAGCCTAATAAATAATAACCCACCTTGTTCTTTTTGCAAGTAATACTAGGTCGCTCGATCATTGTCGAAGTCAACTTTTTGGGAATGTGTCGAGCTGATCTACACTAACAATGGGATAATTTTTTAGTATGTATATTACAATGCATGTATGTGTTAAATTATGAATCGAGGACATATTATATATTTTAGAAGGCCTTTTAGCCAAAATGATCTATAATATTTGCATAACTCCTTATTTTGATCTCTGAGATTTGAAATCAATAGAATTGGTCCCCGAATTTGTCCACAATCAATCATTTTGGTCATTTCATGAAAAATTTCCATAAAATAAGGATAAAATCACAAAAAAATCCTCAAATTTGGTCAAATCGTTTTGGCCTATTGTTTATTAAATTGAGGATAATTTTATCATTTTGATCCTTATTTAACATAATTTTTCACCAAATGACCAAAATGATTGATAGTGGACAATCTCAAGGATCACTTCTATGGATTTCAAATCTTAGGGACCAAAGTGAGGAGTTATGCAAATCTCAGGAACCATTTTGACTAAAAAATCATTTTTGAATGGGACAAGGTAATAATTAAAATGAGAAATATACTTGTTTATACATGCATGTTTTCATGTTTATTGCATTAATGTTGTCAAAACCCAACAAAATATGCATGTTTTCATGTATATTGCAATGTTGTCAAAACACAACAAAATATGCATGAAATCAAAGGAACCTGTATTGTGTGTGCAAATATCAGTCAAACATGCTAATGCCATGAACATATACATTTTAAACAAGCTTGTCATTCAACCATTTTCATTACTCGTCTGAAAATATACATCTTTGTCAAGAAAACCAATGGATCCTGATGTTATGAATCCGGTTCCGGTAAGAAAATTTCGCACTCCGTAAGCGTCATCTGCTAAATACCAATTTATTACTTCTTAATATATATTTTTTTTTCTAAATTTATATGCCTGCATGCATGTCCATAACGAAAATAATTGCGGGTTGATGTACTGCAGACAGTGGAGATCAAAGTCAATTGGCAAGGAGCAATGGGCACACTGGTGGTTCCCTACTCTGCAAGAATTATCGAAGTAAAACTACTGATTTCGCAAACGCTTACCTTCCCAGTCACCGCTGATGGGCCAGATCTCTCATGGCCAGGTATCGTCGTCCCAATCGCAGCAGATAGGCAAGAGCTCTCATGGGAAGGGCTCGTTTTGGAAGATCAACTTACTGTCCAAAGCTATAACATTCCTGCTAATGCTACCATCCTTGTCTTTAACAAGATTAAAGTTGGTATTTCTATAGTGGCTAACAACTTATATTGTGAAGTCTTTGTATACCATGGGACTACTGTCGGTGAGTTGAAGGCCAAAATTCATGCAGACTATGGCGTGGATGTCGCACATAAGGTAGTGCGTAAGGAGAACCGTAATCTTGATGATCGTGCTACTCTGTGGTCTGCTAGAGTAGTCGAAGGAACTGTGTTACTTCTCCTGGGATAGAAATGATCATATGGAATTTTTAATACTTCATGGTTTCGAGCGGATCTTGGTAACTTTGGCTTGCTGCAAATTAAGTTTTATGAGTAGACTAATACGTACTATGTTATATAATAAAGCTTATGAAGCATATATATTTACTATTAATTTCAGTTTGAAGAATGAAAAGTAATATGTATCTAATATCTATCATAAATGATGCATATGTGAAATAAAGATCTGTTTATGTGAAAAATCTCAGTTTTCAACCAGTTTGGCATGTTCTTGCACACAAAACTATAGTTTGACACGTATTTTCAATGAGTCTTTTATATGTCAGCGTGAAAATATGATACGCAAATAGGGAAGAAGCGAAGTGTTCTAATAAAATCTGAATCAGAAGCCTTCATAGGCACATCAAGATCTTACAAACGTGAAAATCTGAGGATAAGTTCCCTGCAACAATCTGCATTTGGTTTTACTGTTCTAAGTAGCTTGACATGGCTTATTTTGCCGGCAAGTTGTGATAGCGCTCCGTTCGCTCTCTTTCTGTTGCATCGACGGCAGCTGCAGATTACATTAGAACAACCCCATTGCCTTTGACTGCATCCAATGCATCTGCAAATTCCTTGCCTTTGACTGCATCCAATGCATCTGCAAATTCCTTGAAGTGCATCCAATGCATCTGCAAATATCTTGAAGTCCTTTATTAAGCTGCGGGACAAAAGAATTGGCACTTAAAAACATTGTTGAAGGTTTGGTACTAGCACGCTCGTGAAGAGTTCACAGGTTTCAACTGTGTGTACAAGTTCACCATAGTTGTTGCTCGCATCTACAGGTCTAAGAGACATGAATTTTCCCATTTATAAGCTACAAATATATTATTCGAAGCTCACTTTACAATAATTAAATGAATAAACTAGTAAACTCTCCTTTTATTATTCTCAAAATTTTAAAAAATTTGACTTCATTTTTTCATACTAGTTTGATTTCTTCGGCACTTTTGTGCTTCCGTTAATTTTTTTTTAATCAAGTCCTCTATTAATTAATGAAGTGACATAACTTTGGCCGACTGTGACACGTCATCAATTAACAAAAAAATTAACGGTCAGGTTAACGATATTATGGTTTTTACCTAAAACTTGCTTGTAAAATTGAGTTTATTTCTACTTTTCTGAAAAGAAAAGAAAAAACCCACTACTCAATACTGATTTAGTGGTATTTCTTTTCAATTAGAAGTGAAATGTCTTAGGTTCGAATATCGTAGATGGAGAATTCAATACCAAATTAGGCTGTTTATTGTATGGTTTTGCCGAAATCACGCTTCCCTCCATCTAAAAATATATGTACTAAAAAAAAAAATCCTATTAAACTAAACCCCTTTCTTAAACCCCAACCACAACCCTGTACCTTTCCAATCTTCGCCCCAATCCTGAATCACCTCTTCCCTCCGCCTCCCCTAACCACCCCAAACCTGAAATCTTAACAGCTTTGGGTCGTCGGAGAATACATAGGAGGAGGCTCTGGGTTCGTCCATGGGTGAAGGATGCCGAATCTTGAACCAGCATGATATCTGCCTCCTCTTCCTCTCCAGTCTCAAAACTACTACTCCTCCTCACGCGGCGGCGCCGCTCTCTCTCTCCCTATTCGACCTTACCCCCGTTCTCTTCCAAAACCCTGATCCACCACATCTCCAACGCCTTCCTCCAAAACAACCCCAAACTCTTAAACCCTCATTTTCTCTCCAAATTACAACCCCACCACCTCCATCCCATCCTCCTCTCCCTTCAATCCAACCCCGTTTCCGCCCTCCGCTTCTTCGACTGGTCCCACGGCTCCCTCGGCCTCCACCACTCCCCGCAGTCCTTCTGTGACCTCATTCACCTGCTGCTCCGCAACCGGATGCTCGCTCCGGCTTCCCGCCTTTTCGACACAATGGTAGGTCAGTTCGGGTCTCAGTTTGACTATTTTGCTGCATTTTCTGATTGTTTTCGGAATCACAGTTCCGATGTTAGTCTTGTTTCTAGCTTTCTGATTGAGAATTTTTGTCGAAATGGGATGTTGGATTCGTCTGTTGATACCTTCATTCGTACGTATAAATTGGGTGTTCGGGTGTCTCCTTATGCGTTGTCTAGAATGCTGAATTGTTTGGTTGATGCGAATCGCGTCGACATGATTCTCGATGCGTATGGAGAAATCTGTAGTGCATTGAGAGGACAACATTTTTGTGCGTATGAGTTTATTATGGTTGGTCTTCTGAACAAGGGTAGATTCGAAACGGGTTTGGAATTTCATTCTGCATTGATTGACAGAGGCTTTTCGCTTGACATTGTTGCTTGTAACAAGATTTTAAAACGTCTTTGTAAAGAAAATCAGGTTGGAGATGGTGAAGATTTCTTTACGGTATTGCTAACTGTTGGTCCGAAGCCAAATGTGGTGACGTTTAGCACGATGATTAACGGGTATTGTAAAGATGGGAAATTGGAAGAGGCAAAGAAGCTTTACAAGATTATGATAGAGAAGGGTATCAGTCCTGACTTGGTTGTATATAGCATCCTAGTTGATGGTCTTTTTAAGGCAGGAAAATTCGAGGACGGGTGTTGGCTTTTCTCAGCGGCGTTGGATGGTGGGATTAAGTTGGATGTAGTCATTTTCAGTTCTTATGGATGCGTACGTGAGAATTGGAGATCCAGTGAAGTCAGTGGAGGTCTACCGAAGAATGCTGAAAGAAGGGATCTCACCAAACTCTGTTAGTTACACCATTCTTATTAACGGCATGTGTCAGGATGGTAAGGTCACGGAGGCTTGTGGAATATTTGGTCAGATTTTGAAGTGTGGTTTTGTGCCATCGATTCTGACTTATAGTAGTTTGATTGAAGGAATGTGCAAAATAGGGAATTTAAAAGATGCATTTCAGCTGTATGAAAGTATGATCAAGACGGGCTATGAACCTGATATTATTCTTTACGGTGTGTTATTAAATGGCCTTTGCAAAAATGGGCTGATGGGTGATGCTCTTAGGTTCTTCTTTCAAGCTGTTCATAGGGGCGTTAAGCCAAATGTCTATACTTTCAACATGTTAATAGATGGTTGCTGCAGATTGAAACGATTGAGGGATGCTGTGAAGGTGTACATCCAAATGGGAATTTATAACATAAAACCAGATGTGGTGACGAATACCGTGCTTATTAAGGGTATTTCTGAAGTAGGGAGATTAAACGATGCGTTGGTTTTTTTCTTCCAATCAGTAAAGAAGGGTTTCTTACCAGATGTTGTAACATATTGCACACTGATTGATGGTTGCTGCAAGCAGAAGCATTTACATGCTGGACTCAGGCTATTTGAGATGATGCGAAGAAATGGAGTAAATCCCGATATTGCCATTTATAATGTCCTCATTAATATGCTGTTCAAAGAAAATTGCATAGATGCTGCGCAGGAAGTCTTTGAGCGGTTTGCTGAAAGTGGTCCGGAACCTGATATCATTACATACAACACAATGATTTGTGGTTATTGCTGTCAGAGAAGGTTAGAGGTGGCTGTTCAACTTTTTGAAGAGATGATGCAGGGGAAGTGCAAACCCAATGCCATTACTTGCACTATATTGATTGATGCATTTTGTAAAGAAGGTAAAATGGACGACGCAATGTTGATGTTTGATAAAATGCTGGAAAAGGATCCTGAACCTAACGTGGTCACATATAGTTGTCTGATTGATGGGTTTTTCAAGTCTGAAAACACAAAAAGTGCCTTTGAACTACACGAAGAGATGCTTAAAAGCATCTCTCCAAATATAATCAGTTATAGCATCCTCATTGACGGTCTTTGCAAAAGAGGACTTGTGGAGAAAGCATCCCTTGCATTTCATTGCGCTATAAACAGGGGCCTGGTGCCAGATGTAATAGCATACGGGATTCTGATTCACGGTTACTGCAAGGTAGGAAGAACGGCAGAAGGCCTCGTGTTGTATGGGCGTATGTTAACAAGTGGGATCATGCCGGATGCTGTCATACAAAGGATGATTGCGGAGCATATCCTTGGAGCTGATCGGCGAAAATATGAGGGTACTCCCAACCACATGATTTGCAGATAAGATCTGTTGTTTAGTACAGTGACACAATTAACTGAAGCAAAGCTAGTGTCAGTGGCGGAGCTAGAATTTTCGGTGAGGAGAGGCCTCTCATAAAGGTTTTTTTTCAATTTTTTTTAAGCGGATGGTATTTACAAAGCTAATATGATATATATATATATATATATATATCAAAATCAAATGTTCAAAACAACATATGCACATATAATATTACATACTCACAAAAAATTATAATTATCCTTGACGACTATTCAACTCAATGAGATAAATAAAAACTTTATGAACCATAAATCTCATGTAATATGTAGAATAAAGCAGAAACAACAGAGAAACAAAGAAATTTAAAACTTATTTGTTTAATAGATTTCAAATTTAGGATTATAAAATGTATGAGATATCAAAAAGAAAAGGGGAATTTTTTAAATTTTCATAATTAAAATTGAATGTTTTCTATTTAAAGAAAACAGAAATATTGCTTTGATTTTAAATGCTATTAATTTGTGTTAAGGAGATAGATAAAATATTAAAGCTAATTGGGAGATGGGGTTATGCTTGAAACTTGGAAAGCAGGAAGCAATATAAGGATGCATAATTCCCTTGTATATATATATTTGTTTTAGAAGCTAGGATAGGCCCAGGCAACCCCTGGTCCTTAACTCCCTCCGCCAGTGGCTAGTGTAAAAATAGTGACACAATTACAGTTTAATAGTTAATTTACTTTGTATTTCAAAGGTAACTTTCAGAATTTTCGTCACATATCATCCTTACAAAAAATCACTAAACTTGGAAACCATAAGACGAGGTGCAGGATATTGCAGGTTTCTCCGGGATGTAAGAACTCGTTTTCCCTTGGTACGCAAATTGTATCCAAGCTCAGCACCCGGCAGCCAAGTATCCATCAGGTGATCGAAACTCTGCCCTATAACAACGGATGAATCAGATGCATCAGTTATGACAAAGTTCCCATTGTCGAGAAGCTTTGCTGCACCAGAACTAGAAACATTTGATCTTCAACTAGTTGACCATGCTATAACTTTGGAGGGCTACTCAAGGTCAAGTTTCCATTTTCGAATTCTAATACTCAAAAGTTTTGGTTTGGAAACAGGTTGTTTTCGGTTTGTGAACCAAACCATAAGTAGATTCTTGTACCAGATGTCTATGTAATAGTTTTGAGATTCACCTGGTGTGAAGGAACCGAGCTCAAATGTTCCACCGGGAGAGGTGATTGTTTGGCTCCCGGAAAGATACTGGCCTGGAGAGATGGCGTGAAACGCCGTGGACATACAAGCAATAAAGGTAGAACATAATCAAAATCCTAATGAGTATGATACACTGGAGCATAGTAGAATCTTCGTATCCACCCCTTAGATTAAATTGCAACAAAGAGTTAGATTTGCTGCAAACAGAACACAAAACTTGTCCTTCCTTTCATTGGATCATAACCAGAACAAATATTGTTCTTGCAGACCCTTGGACTTTAACTGCTGTAATATTTTTACTACCCTTCCTTCCCTGTTTGGGGTAATCAGACTATGAATGCGACCAGGCCTACAACCATCCCTACAAATATCTCCCAAAACATCCCAAGTCTTAGAAAGCCATGGAATTACGAGAAAATCTTGTGTCCACTTAGAAGACCATGTCATCTGTATGCCCACTCACACAACTAGGCAGAACCGCCCTTGTTTTGGGGACCACCACTGGCTCGATTCCACCAATTCCAAAATAGGCGGTTTGCTTGGTTGTGTGGGCCTAGGAATGACGTTACCTTCTCGGTAGACACGAGAACAAATTACATTCATGCAACTACACATCAAGATCAACAACATATAACAAGCATAGATAGATTTAAATCTATGGCAGCTCAAATCCGCATTCAGATTACATAAACATGATGATTTGCCGCGATATCGAACAAGCATGTCTACAGGATTCCCCAAGAGCGAAAACCTGTACCTTACGAATACAACATATTCAGACCTAAGGTCCAAAGATGGAAGCATCACGGCCAAAATCGGTATCAATGCCTGAAGTGCCTAACGTTTGTGAAAAAACCGAAACTCCATACTTGTTACAGCAGTCTATGGCATCCCCATCTCTAATGCTCCCACCGAGTGCGAAAATCATTTCCCTTTTTAATATCTCATTAGATAACCGATATTTATTGAACTGGAAATATTCAAAAACCTACTGCCTCCAAGATAAGGTTATATTTACAATCATACTGCAAGAACCCTCACGTTCTTCATCTGATCCTCATGAATTCTTGTTGCACAGTTGCTGACTTCGGCTTGAAATGCACTTTGGACATCGAATCATGACCATGAACCTGAATCGGATGTAGTCTCCTGGTAGTTAATGCCTTCTGCCGGACTTCTGATAAGACGCTGGAGGAACTGCGGGACTGGCGGAACACCGATGTCCAAAACTCCCTCAAGAATTTGAACAACCTGCCTCATTGTTGGCCTATCCTTCTCATCTTCTTGAATGCACCAACAAGCCACTTTGCACGCTCTACTTAGGTCATCTCTGTCAGCTTTGCCTTCCAACCTGCAATCCAACAAGGTGAAAAGATCTTCCCCTCTATTAACTGCATTCGCTAGCCGGATAGGATGGAAGTTTTCTACCCCGTCAGCTAACCCTTCTCTGTTTCTCCTCCCTGATATGACCTCAATCAGCAACATGCCATAGCTAAACACATCGGCTTTTGGGGTGATGGCTTCACCCGAAAACCATTCTGGTGCGAGATAGCCCACAGTCCCTCTCATGGTTGTCAAAACCCGGCTGTGGTGTCTCCCCAAGAGTTTCGCAAGACCAAAATCCGCCAATTTTGGACTGTATTCTGAATCCAACAAGATGTTCTCTGGCTTAACATCGCAGTGTATTATGCAGTCTCTGCACTCTTCATGGAGGTAAGACAATCCTCTGGCAGTCCCTACTGCAATGTGATATCTAGCATTCCAATCTAACATTATCGGGTTCTTTCCAAGAATAAGAGATTGCAGAGAACCATTTGGCATGTAGTCATAAACTAAAAATCTCTTTGAAGCGTTCACGCAGAATCCCCTCATGCGAATGAGATTAATGTGTTGGATTACACCGATAGTTCCCACTTCAGCACGAAATTGTTTCTCTCCCTGGTTCATACTTTTTAGCTCTTTCACTGCTATGGCCGTTGAGTTAGGCAACGTCCCCTTGAATACAGAACCAAAGCCTCCTTCCCCAAGTTTTTCGGAGAAGTTGTTTGTTGCTCTTCTTAAATCTCTATGCTTGTAAAGCACCAAAGAATCGTCGGTAGTTGCCAATGCTCCTGCTGACCATCTCCTTCTAAAAAATACCATGACAATGAAAGTACTACTTAAGATGGAAAAGAACCCTGCAAGTAATCCAATTACAGTCCAAGTAGTCTTTCTCTTTGTCTCACTTGTAGAATCCACAATCCGGAGATGCAATCCTGGGCTATCTGGAGAATAACTTATGGAAATGGATTCGGATGGCATTGTCAGTATATTATATAGATCCCCTATCCAAATGAAACACCGACGACTATCGATAAAATTATAAACAAAGGCACTGCATGAACAATTTATTAAGCATTCTAATCTGCATTGATCATTGCTCACATTTATAATTTGCTCATAGTTCTTAGGATATCCAATTCCAACATCAGTTATCGCCAAAAATGAGTCCCTGGGACTGTAGTGAAAAGGAATTTTCCTCACACAGCCATCTGAGAAGTCCTCTAGTATCCAACTTTCCCTGACTCCGGGTTCAAATCCTTCGAGGCAACCACAACGAGGAAAACTCCGTTGGTTGCAAATACTAAAAGCACCGCATGAAGAATCAACCGCACACTGGTCCGATGGTTCAACCGAAATCAAAGTCCATTCCGTAAAGCCTTGGTCCCAGGCATAGAACTTTAGCTGACCATTGATTTCAAGTCTGCCTCTAGTAAAGGTATCAGGATACGAAGATAAATTAAAAGGTATTTCATCTAGCTCAGAAGAAAAAGGACCAGGTGCAGGAGTTTTCGGATTTCTCCAGGATGTAAGAACTAGTTTTCTCCTCGTACGATTATTGTATCCAAGCTTAGCACCCGGCAGCCAAGTATCCGTCGGGTGATCGAAACTCTGCCATTTGACAACAGATGAATTAAATGCATCCGTTATGACAAAGTTCCCATTGTCAAGAAGCTTTGCTACACTAGAATTAAAGACCTTTGATCTTGAATTAGTCGACCATATTGCAACTTTGGAGGGACCACTTAAGGTCAAGTTTCCATTTTCGACAAGTTGCAATACTGAAAAATGCGGTTCACAAACAGGTTGTTTTCTGTTTGCGACCCAAACTACAGTCCGATTGGGTAGACTTTTGTACCAAATGCCTATGTAATAGTTTTGAGGTATACCTGGTGCGAAGGAACCGAGCTCAAATTTTCCGCTTGGAGAGGTGATTGCTGGTGTGAAGAAACCGAGCTCAAATTTGCCACTTGGAGAGGTGATTGTTTGCTCCCCGGAGAGAGATTGGCCTGGAGAGATGGTGTGAGACGCCGTGGAAATACAAGCAATGAAGGTACAACATAGCAAAAATCTCAATGTATAGCAGAGTAGAATTCTCGTATCCATCTCTTAATAAAACTGCAAAGAGTTAGATTGCTGCAAGCAGAAGCCGAAACTTATCCTTCCCTTGAATGATTGATCTTAACCAGATAAGCTGTATCAAAATATATTAGACTTGACTTGCCAGTCAACAAAGAACCCTTCTTGCCACTACTCCAGTTACAATCCAACAAGTCTTTCTCGCACTCTTTCTAGTCGTCTCATTTATCAAAATGTATTAGACTTGACTTGCCAGTCAACAAAGAACCCTGCCACTACTCCAATTACAATCCAAGAAGTCAACCTAAGATAAGCAGGGATAAAAACACCTGCAAAAGTAGGGATATAAATACTTAAAAATACTTCCAAGAAGTCAACCTAAGCTAAGCAGGGATAAAAAGACCTGCAAAAGACCTGCAAAAGTAGGGATGAAAATACTTAAAAATACTTGTAAGAGTACAAAGTTATCGTAGTATAGCAGGTCGTTTTCAGTAGGGAAATACAAGCAATGAAGGTACAACATAGCAAAAATCTCAATGTATGGCAGAGTAGAATACAAGCAATGAAGGTCATTTTCCACTTGGAGAGGTGATTGTTTGTTCCCCGGAGAGAGATTGGCCTGGAGAGATGGTGTGAGACGCCGTGGAAATACAAGCAATGAAGGAACAACATAGCAAAAATCTCAATGTATAGCAGAGTAGAATTTTCGTATCCATCTCTTGATAAAAATTGCAACATAAGAGTTAGATTGCTGCAAGCAAAAGCCGAAAATTACCCTTCCTTTGAATGATTGATCTTAACCAGATAAGCTATATCAAAATATATTAGACTTGACTTGCCAATCAACAAAGAACCCTGCCTGCCACTACTCCAGTTACAATCCAACAAGTCTTTCTCGCACTCTTTCTAGTCGTCTCATTTATCAAAATGTATTAGACTTGACTTGCCAGTCAACAAAGAACCCTGCCACTACTCCAATTACAATCCAAGAAGTCAACCTAAGATAAGCAGGGATAAAAACACCTGCAAAAGTAAGGATATAAAATTTAAAAATATTTGTAAGAGTACAAAGTTATCGTAGTATAGCAAGTCGTTTTCCACATAGATTGAATGAATAATTTGTATTTAAACCAAAATTTAATTAATTATTTGAAAACAAAGTTTGGATAAAAGTGATTTTTTGACCTAAAATATTAAAAACGAATTTAATTAAAAACAATTAAATAAATTGAAAAGTAAACAAACAAAAGAAAATAGTTTTGAAAATAAATTTGAGCACTAGGGTTCCGCCATCACCTTAATAATCCTATATAGTTTTACCAATTACTTATAAATTACACATGCAACTTTGAAGGTTAGGTTTTCCTAATACATCCTATGTAGTTTTACCAATTACTTATGAATTACACATACAACTTTGAATGTTAGGTTTTCCTAATGCATATTCTACTCGTGGTATTCAAGCTAGAACGTATATCAAACATGCAATCCGTCTGTGGTATTCAGATCAAATATAAACATGCATGACTCATTACGCTTTGTGAAAACCCTTTGAAAAACCATGCAACACATAAGACGTGGTATTTGCCCTAGGTGAAATAACAACTATCAATCACAAGAAGAAATACTCAATCCCCCAGTTGTATTCCGGCCGAATTGCATCCGATTACTTATTTAAACATCATAATGGTAACTAAGCATTAAGATATAGAGACGGTTTAAACACAATAATTAATAATTCAAAGCATGCATGCATAATATCATAAGCAATTAAATAAAGACTATATATTCATGCTAAGGCTCAAGGCGAGTAAATTGTAGCAATGGTCCCTGAACTTTACTCAAATTGGAGCAATGGTCCCTCAACTAAAAATCCATTACCATTGGTCCCTCAACTTATCAAAATGTGTAGCTATAGTCATTTTCATTAATTTCTTCAAAATTTTGTCAAAATATGTTATGTTGGAATAACCATTTATTTAATTAGGGTCCCTCAACTCATCAAAGTGTGTAATTATGGTCATTTTTGTCAATTACGTAAAAATTTTTGTCAAAACGAGTTATGTTTGAAGGACCATAGCTACAATTTGGATAAAGTTAAGGGATCATTTCTCCAGTTGAATTAAAATTGAGGGACCAAAGGTAATGGATTTTTAGTTGAGGGACCATAGCTACACGTTTTAATGAGTTGAAGGACCAATGGTAATGGATTTTTAGTTGAAGGACCATTGCTCCAATTTGAGTAAAGTTCAGGGACCATAGCTACAATTTACTCGGCTCAAGGCATCGTCCTAGCAAACGGAAATTAGTTACAAACAACCATAAAACAAAAGGAATTTTATTGAAATAGAAAAATGACAGAAAACTCCTTGAAATACAAATCGTCAAAGCCTAACTAAGTTCTTCAAATTGATGCGTCCGTCCTCTCCTTTTTAACCCTAATGGCTAAAAAGTCTTATTTATACTACTACAAAATAAAATCCTTATTAGAAAAAAAAATTCTAAAAACTAGGAAACATAATAGAATAAGATAACTAGAAAATAAAAGGTTTCCTATTTAAACTAAAATTCAGACTTTTCAAAAAATCAGACTTTTGACCAAATCAACTCCGATTTGGTCCCAAAAGGTCTATTTTAAAAGCATGAGACGTCTCCAACAAATCCTCAAAAGGAATCTTCCTCAAAATATGTCATCTTGATCTCCAAAATACCCAAAACGTCCAGAAATGTCAATTTGGGAAAGTTGCGCGCTGGGTCTTTATTTCATCGCCACGGTCAAACGACTTGGTAGAAAAATATAAAATTTTGATACAATCATCTTGAAAGACTCACAAACATCTTCCAATTGGAATCACTCCAAAATTCATCCGTTTGATCACTTTTTACTCTAGAGGAAGTCGAATGTCCTACATTAAAAATGTATAACAAAGTATTAAAATTCTACCAAAATAACCAATAAACTATAACTAAGAATAGGGTAAAATATATGGTATAATATGGACTCATCAGCTGTCACAGCCCGTCCCGAGAATTATTTATCGTGGTTGTGAAAAGACAGATTTACCCTTGAGCGTTTGTGACATCGTGGGGCTATGTGTGGTTGAGGACCAATGTGTTAAGTCCCTATTATTTTGGACCCAATTGGAAGTAAGAAAATTATTAGTTGTGATTAGTGACTTTGGACCACACACACACACCCATAACCTTCTCTCTCTTCCCTCTCGTGTCCTCTCTCTATCTCGCACTATAGCAAAGTTATCGTAGTATAGCAGGTCGTTTTTCAAGAGATTAAATGAATAATTTGTATTTAAACCAAATCTTAATTAATTATTTGAAAACAAAGTTTGGAAAAAAGTGATTTTATGACCTAAAATATTAAAAACGAATTTAATTAAAAACAATTAAATATGAGAAAGTAAACAAACAAAAGAAAATAGTTTTGAAAATAAATTTGAGCACTAGGGTTCCGCTATCACCTTAATAATCCTATGTAGTTTTACTAATTACTTATGAATTACACATGCAACTTTGAATGTTAGGTTTTCCTAATGCATATTCTACTCGTGGTATTTAAGCTAGAATGTATATCAAACATGCAATCCATCTGTGATATTCAGATCAAATATAAACATGCATGACTCATTACGCTTTGTGAAAACCCTTTAAAAAACCATGCAACCCCTAAGACGTGGTATTTGCCCCAGGTGAAATTACGACTATCAATCACAAGAAGCAATACTCAATCCCCCGGTGGTATTCCGACTGAATTGCATCCGATTACTTATTTAAACATCCTAATGGTAGCTAAGCATTAAGATATAGAGACAATTTAAACACATTGATTAATAACTCAAAGCATGCATGCATAATATCATAAGCAATTAAATAAAGACTACATATTCATGCTAAGGCTCAAGGCATCGCCCTAGAAAATGGAAATTAGTTATGAACAATTATAAAACAAAAGGAATTTTATTGAAATAGAAAAATGACAAAAAACTCCTTGAAATACAAATCGTCAAAGCCTAGCTAAGTTCTCCAAATCGATGCGTCCGTCCTCTCCCTTTTAACCCTAATGGCTAAAAAGCCTTATTTATACAACTACAAAATAAAATCCTTATTAGAAAAAGTCTTCTAAAAACTAGGAAACATAATAGAATAAGATAACTATAAAATAAAAGGTTTCCTATTTAAATTGAAATTCGGACTTTTCAGAAAATCAGACTTTTGATTGACCAAATTTGGTCCCAAAATGTCTCTTTTTAAAGCTTGAGACGTCTCTAACAAATCATCAAAGGGAATCTTCCTCAAAATATGCCATCTTGATCTCCAAAATACCTAAAACGTCCAGAAATGTCAATTTGGGAAAGCTGAGCGTTGGGTCTTTATTTCATTGCCACAGTCAAACAGCTTGGTAGAAAAATCTGGAATTTTGACACACTCATCTTGAAAGACTCATGAACATCCTCCAATTGGAATCACTCCAAAATTCATCTGTTTGGTCACTTTTTACTCTAAAGGAAGTCGACTGTTCTACATTGAAAATATATAACAAAGTATTAAAATTCTACCAAAATAACCAATAAACTATAACTAAGAATAAGGTAAAATATATGGTATAATATGGACTCATCAGCAGCAATGCAAATGGAGAAGAAGTTGGGACTGGAATAATTCAAATCTAACCATTACAATGAGTGTGGAGAGAGAGATATATACCAGTAGCTAGTAATCCAGTGTGATTGCCAGTTGTACAACTTCAACAAACTTATGGAATCAACTCCCTACAACACTTGGCCTATTACAATCAAACCCAAAGATCCCAGATCATTACAATTCAACCCCCAAATCTCTTACAATTTAACCCTTTAACTATAGCTAATTATTATTCTTGTGATCGAAGTAATCACAGATATGCAATTCATAACAACACTCCCTCTTTAAGAAAACCTTGTCCACAAGGTTCAAAGAGAAAAATCAGGAAACTTGGCCTGGAATTCGTTGAAGTCCTCCCAAAGAGCATTATCCTCCTCTTGATCTTGCCACTGCACCAGAATTTGCACACCTGCAGAGTTCCCCTTCTTGTAAATTCTTCTAGCTATCACAACTTTGGGATTGTTTTGAGCTAAGCCATCTTCCATAACCTGAGGCAACATAGTTTGAGCGTGATTCCCTAATTGTTTCTTAATGCAACTCACATGAAACACTAGATGTATCTTAGTTCCTTCTGGCAGTTTAAGCTTGTAAGCCACATTACTAATCTTTTCAAGTACTTCATAGGGTCCGTAGTACCTAGGTTGTAGCTTGTGGTAATTGTGAGGTGCTAAAGTCCGCAAATGGTATGGTATCAACTTCAAGTAAACAAAATCACCAATTGTGAAATGTCTCTCTGTCTTCTTCTTGTCACTGTACTTTTTCATCATATTCTAAGCCAGCTCCAAGTTACTTTTTAGCACAAATAAGATCCTATCGCGTTCAAGTAACCTTTGCTCCACAGTCTCAACTCTTGCAGTACCCATCTCATAAAGGATTGCATGGGGTATGGGGTATCCATAAACTAGCACAAATGAAGTGTATTTAGATGAGGTGTGATAAGAAGTATTGAAGCACCATTCAACCGAAGAGAGCCATTGAACCCACTTCTTTGGTTGACCTCCCACAAAGCATCTGAGATAGGTTTCCAGGCATCTATTCATCACCTCAGTTTGGCCATTACTTTGTGGGTGATACCCTGAGCTTATGCACATCTTGGAGTTTTACAATTTAAACAGTTCCTTTCAAAATGCACTAATGATTATGGGGTCTCTATCATTGAAAATAGAGTTAGGCATCCCATGCAACTTGAATATATGATCCACAAATAGTTGTGCTACTTTAGTGGCAATGTAGAGGTGTGACAAGGGTACAAAAAAGGCATATTTTGATAGCATGTCAACCACCACTAAGATCACAGTTTTTCCCTACAATTAGGCAAGCCTACTATACAGTCCATACTAATGTCAGCCCATACCCTATGAGGAATAGGTAATGGCTACAGCAATCCAAGGGGTGAGATAATTTCAAATTTGTTTTGTTGACAAGGTTGACACTCAACAACAAACTTCTTGATGTCATTTTGTATTCCATGCCAATAGAAACTCTTCTTAATTCTCTGGTAAGTTTTTAAGACCCCTTGGTGTCCAGATGCATGAGTTGAATGATGTTCCTCAATTATCTTAGTTCTCCAATCAAATAAAGGACTTACAACTACCCTTTGTTTGTAGCCCAGGGACTCATTGTCTATAGAATGCTTGCTCAATGTTAAACCCCCAAAACCATCTTGGATAGCTTGAGTCACTTCATTCTTTTTCTCAGTAATCCACCCATCTTGCTCATTACTTTTTCTGAGCTCATCCATCCAAAATATGGATATGAGATGGCAGTGCATTCCATGTTCATGTCATCAACAGGAATAAGGAATTCATGTAGTTAAGTTGTCCCTTGAACTTTAGAGAGTGCATCAGCAACCACATTTTGATGACCTTGTTTGTATTGGATCTCATAGTCTTACCTCAACAATTTTGACACCCATTTCTGTTGGAATTGGGTATTTGCCCTCTGGTTAAGGAAATATTGGAGACCGTTATGATCAATCTTGATAATAAAGTGTCTTTCTAGAAGATTGTTCTGCCAGTTCTTCACAGCATGTACTATGGCAATCAACTCTTTCTCATATGTGGAAATAGCTTGATTTCTGGGGCCTAGGGACTGGCTAGTGAAAGCTATAGGTCTCCCTGATTGATGTAACACAGCACTAATACCATATCCAGATGCATCAAATTCCAACTCAAAAGTCTTAGAAAAATATGGGAGAGCAAGAACATGTGGTGAAACCATGATAGACTTAAGTTGTTCAAAAGCCAGTGTAGCCTCTGAATGCCACTCAAACCTATCCTTCCTTATGAGTTTGTATAAGGGTTGACATATTTTACCATAGCCTGGCACAAATTTCCTATAGTAGCCAGTGAGTCCCAAAAACCGTCTTAATTCCTTCACATTTCTGGGACTAGGCCATTCTTGAATGGTTTGCAACTTGGAAGGGTCAGCATCTACACCATCATGGGATACGATATGCCCTATATACTCCACAGAAGCTTGTCCAAATGAACATTTAGATTTCTTGAGATAGAGTTAGTTATCTCTGAGAATTCCCAATGCAAGCTGCAAATGAGTCAAGTGGTCTTTCTAAGTCTTCTTATATATCAGAATATCATAAAAGAAAACTAGCATAAGTTTTTTGAGATATGGCTTGAACAAATCATTCATAAGGCTTTGAAAAGTGGTTGGTGCATTGGTGAGACCAAAAGGCATCACAAGGAACTCATAATGCCTTTCATGAGTTCTAAAAGCTGTTTTTTTTTTTCCACATCTTCTGGTTTCATCAAGATCTGGTGATATCCATACCTTAAATCCAACTTGGAGAAGTATTGTGCCCCATGCAATTCATCTAAGAGGTCATCTATCAAGGGAATGGGATACTTATCCTTGATAGTAAGTGAATTCAGCTCCCTATAGTTAATGCACATCCTCCAAGTGCCTTCCTTCTTTTTCACCAACAAGACAGGGAATGAGAAGGGGCTATGGCTCTGTCTAATGAATTCTACATCAAGCAATTCCTAAACTACCTTTTTAATTTCAATTTTCTACAATGGACCATAAGGATATAGCCTAATGTTGGTGGTTTAGCTCCATGTATCAGTGGAATGTGATGATCATGTACCCTGTGGGGAGGTAACTTAGTGGGCAACGCAAAAACCTCATCAAATTCTCCAAGCAAATTCTAGAGTTCTTGGAGCTGTTATTTACTTAATTCACAAGCCTCAACTTTCCTCCCTTCCATGAAGTAGAGAAATAGACCTAAATTGGATTTAAAGATCTCCTTATCTAGGTACCGCAATGTCACTTCTTGAATGGTAGGCTCAGGGGTGACCTTGTAGGATAATTTGTAAGTGTGGTGATCTTTAGTGAACTTCATCGTGAGTAGTTGGAAATCCCACAGCACATGACTCATTGTGGATAACCACTACACTCCCAATACTACATCACGCCCCCTAGTGGTAGAGAATACAGAACCATATTGCAATTATACCCTCCCAAAGTAAGATCAACATGTTTACAACATCCAGAACTTCTAAACTTACCCTCATCTGCTATCATCACTTCAAAAGACTTAGTAGGGAAAGCTTGAAATCCCCACTGTTTGAGAAGCTTAGAATCAATGAAATTATGTGTGCTGCTAGAATCCAAGAGGATTTTAACACATTGTCCATTGATTTGCCCTTCTACTGTTATGGTTTTGGAGGGTTGCTCGCCATTAGCGCTATAAAATACACAAGCACTAAGCTCTATGTTGTGCAATTCTGGGGGCACTTCCTGAGGTTCCATATCCAATTCATCAGATTCCAACACATCTGACATAAAGAGTTACTTCAACCCACATTAATCTCTATTGGACCATTTATCAGTGTAAAACCAATATTTTCCCCTTTCTCGTTTCCTTTGAATTCATCAGGAGACAATTTCTTAATAGCTAAGTTACCCTGGCGAGGTATAGTGTGAGTCAGATGAGTAGCATATGTAGTGTGAGATTTGACTGTGGGAGAAGGTTTAGTAGGGTTAGGTTTAAACTTAGAGATTTTTGCATCATGCACAGTTACAAGCTTCAAAAGTTTAACATCATATTTCAATTCCTTCTTTAAACCCTCTATGAAACAGCTTTTAAGAAGGATCAAACCAGTGTCAAGAGAATGATTAGCCAAACGGCGGAATTCAGTGACATACTCACGAAGGGTGTAAGTTTTCCTGAGCTTGAAAAGGGCCTCATCACTATCGTCAAATTCAGAAGGTCTGAACTCCCGACATAAAGCTTGAGAAAATTCCAACCAGTTTGGTGTAGTATGGAGGCAGTCCATCCATCAGAACCATTGTAGCACTCCCTAATTCCAACCAGTTTGGTGTAGTATGGAGGCAGTCCATCCATCAGAACCATTGTAGCACTCCCCTTTCTAGATAAAAGAAAGCGATCAACATTCGCTGAGGATCACAAATATTGTAGAAGCTGAAGAACTATTTTGCTTTGTAAATCTAGACTAATGGATATTCCCCCTCAGTGAATCTGGGAAAATCAATCTGCTGTTGTTATGGAAGACGAGGATTAGGGCCTCCACCAGCCCAGATCTGAGTTCAAGGTGGGTTACCCAGATCAGTATCTTGGTGAAAAGAAGGTTTAGTGAGAGGCGAAGTAGAGGAACCTTCATCGTCTCCTTTAACCTGAAGCTCACGGAAAAATTACTCAAAGTACACCATAAGGTGTGCTTGGAATTGGTCTGGGAGCTTAGCATCGAATACATTGTTCACAGCTTCAGCGATCATAGTAAGTAGGGAAGCAAAGGAAGTTTCGAGAGTAGAAACCCGAGCATCTATGGTGGTTTGGCGAGTGTTTGGTTTGGGGCCGACCTTCCCAACAAGGAAAACCAAAATTGGATAGGTGATACCAATGTTAGAATCACAATCCTTAGCTGGAATATTCTTTCAATTTGTTCAAATATAACCGTTACAATGAGGGTGGAAAGAGAGAGATATACCACTAGCTAGCAATCCAGTATGTGATTGCCAGCTGTTTGAATTAACTCCCTACAACACTTGCCCTATTACAATCAACCCAAAGATCCCAGATCATTACAATTCAGACCCCAAATCTCTTACAATTTAACCCTTTAACTATAGCTAATTATTATTCTAGTGATCAAAGTAATCACATATATGCAATTCATAACAGCAGTCTTTCTAGTCGTCTCATTTTTATAATCCACAATTCGGAGATGCAATCCTATGTTGTCTGGAGAATAACTTATGAAGTCTTTCCCCAGGTTTGCAGTGAAAAGAAATTTTCCTTACACAACCATCTGAGAAATCTTCTAGTCTCCATTTTTCGCTGACTTTGGGTTCAAATCCTTCAAGGCAATGACAATGAAAATACTTCCAATTGTCACAAATACTAAAAGCACCACACAACGCATCGGCCTCACACTGGTCGAATTGTTCAACAAAAATCCAAGACCTTCCCCAAAAGCCTTGGTCCCAAGCATAAAACTTGAGCTGACAATTGATTTCAAGTGTGGCTCTTGACACGCCCCGACCCCGATATCCCAAAATACCAGGACAAGCACGTGCTGGCTGACACCTGAGGGTGACGAAGATACATATGTAGAAGTGCCAATGCGGAAACGTGTTCAGAGCATACAACTAATCAAGAATAATGTAAAAGAATTATTATAAAAAAAGGTACGAACAAAGGAACGGGTCCTACACTGAGAAGACTCGAAGATACCTGTGCGGAAGTGCCCTGACGTCGGGTTCGTATGCCTCGATTCTAACTGCTAAAGGAGGCGCAAAACAAAGGGTGAGTAGACCATAATTTATACTAATACTAATAATAATAAAACCGATTTCTTTCTGAACATACTAACCTCTTGTTTTGAAAACGTAGATAATACTACATAATAGGTTTTCTGAAAACCCTAACGTGCCATGAAAACATTCATAGGTAATAAAACCACATCTAAAAGTGGTATTGAAATCGTCCAAAGGCAAATCTGAGAAATCTCGTAAATCCAAAATAATAAAGTACTCAACTAAGGGTATCATAGTCGCCCAAAGGCATAACCATCACCCGAAGGTGAAGTTGTATGATACTGGGTTACGCCAGTGAAGAAATATGATAGGTCCCATCACCCAAAGGTGAAGTTGTACGACTCTAAGTTATGCCATATACATATACATATATATACATATACATAACACACCGACACTAGTCATGGCTAGTAAAGCTGTCTAACACTAGTTTCGCCAGTGAAGCTAGGAGTACGTCATAAATATCTTCAACTGTGTCCTATGGCCATAGACGTCTACATACTCGTGTTGTGTGTATGTGTCGTATGATAACACACTAGATAAGCACAGAAAACGTAATTCAAAATCTCATATCAAATCACCGGAGCTCAAAAGCTCAAAGCATCAATTCATAAACCATAATAAAACATATTCGTAAATCTGTAATATATCATACGCGTAAATCCAATAATTCATAACGTTTCGTAAAACATAATTCAATAAATCATAAATAATGCATAAAACTTAAAATTATGAAATCATTCTTTTCGTGAATGCAAGCCTATATTTTATAAAAACATGCAATTTAAGAAGGGGTTTGTTCATGGCTAGAATTTCCGTTGGGGATGTCTCCTAGCGGACGAGTACACAGCTCCCCGAGAGGTTGGCGCCGGTTGATGCTTTCTGTCGGGCTTCTACTCACTGGCGGGCTTGTCGAGCAAAGCTTGTCAGGCAAGGCTTGTCGGGCAAAGCTGAAAGAGAATGACAGGGTTAACTTTGAAAGGTGCCTTTGTGGGGCTTTAGGTATAGGCATTGAGGCTCACAATCAAGATTAACTTTTAGGTGTACAGGCGTGCCACTACCATCTTTAGCATGGTAGATGTTGAGTTTTAGTTGTATATATACCCGAGAGGTTGTTTTAGTTATGAAATGTGCCTTTGTGGGGTCTTAGGTGTAGGCCTTGAGGCTCACAATCACGAACTAACCCAGTACTCGAACATATAATGTTTGTTTCATTAATTGCAGAAGTATTATGACTATTATACTTCTAATTACCCGAGCCCGAAGAGCATAATGAATCCAAATAGGTGCCTGTGTAGGGCCTTAGATGTAGGCCTTAAGGCTTCCCATCAGAATTATTTATATACTTAAACGTTCCATGATAATCATAATATAACAGAAATATAACTAAGAAATAGGTCGATTACTTGCGCCCCAAGTAACTTCGGACTTCTTGTTATCAAAGACTGTCGTGGATGGGTTAAGTCCACATAAAGTTCTTTTTTATGCCTTGAGACCAAGGACTTTTGAATGATCAATCTTACATGCCCGAGGGTTTAGAACTCAGATCTGATTTAAACTGTGAATACATATTCCAATCAGATTCAAGAACTGATGAGTCTTTTAATCATTAACTTGCTAGAAATAACTTGGATACAAATGGAAGTATACAACATATTACTAGACTTATGAATGAAAAGACAAAAACAAAGAGGGTCGGGCAAAGCTGGTCGTCTTGCAACTTCCTATCTTTTTTATTTATAAAGAGGTTTGAAAGCTTAGAAAGAGGGATAGGGGGATGAGTTTACAGAAGGAAATCGATACTACAGCAAGATTTAGACAAGGTAACAGAGCTTTTACAAAGGCTTTTGTGAGGGTTGATCTCGAAAAGGATGAAGGCTTGGGCTGACTACAGCTTCGTTGAAGACAAATCTGGCTTGAGCAGAGTTTGTGTATTTGTTTGTTTTTTTGAGTGTCTCTATCTCTGATTTCTCTTTCTTCTTTTATAGATAGTTTGGCTTGGCCTCCTGTAGCATTAATCTTGCCCGAATGCAGCTTGAAGGGCAATGACTCATCAGCTTTTTACTTGTATTGCCACTGTAAAGTGCTTTTTGGGCTGATTAGTTGGCTGGTCTACACTACTTGGTCTCTAGGTAGGTGAGCAAATGATTCAAATGATATGCACCTAGTCGGGAAAAGCCCTTTTCTGCCTTCTGGGCTTTGGCTGAGCTTCGGGCTCCTTTCCTCCTAGTCCTTCTTTTGGGCCAACTCCCTTTTAAGCCTAAAGTTCAAGTTTTAACCCAAACAGGATTCACTTACAAATATTCCGCTACCGAAAGCCACTCAAACTAGGGAGGACGAGGTCAATTCCAACCGACGCACCTAACCACAAATAGATACCAATTAATAAAACTTTACTAAAAGGATCGAATTGGGAAAACGAACAACAGATTCGGATTCAACACGTTGAAAAATCTAAAGATGGACCTCGGGTTCTGCAACACGCCGCCATGAGGCGGCGGCCTGGGTCATCACGCGCCACCTCATAATTTCTGGAAATTTTCCAGATTTTTCGTCCTACTTCAAGAGCTCACTTCAAGCTCGGTACAAGCCCAAATTAAGTGATTCAAAAGCCAAAATGTAGTTAGGAATGTGGAGAAGGGTTCATACCGTTAGGAGGCCCAACGGTGATCGGCGTTGGCCGGAAAAATGGTTGGAAAGTGGCCAAATGATCACAGATTTGAAATTCCAGATTTTGCACAGTGACTTCCCTTGTGTTTTTCGAGTTCCTACAACACCCAAAAACTTACTAATTGTGAACCTAGACAAGATCTACAATGATGGGGACCAATTTTGAGGCTTACCTTGGCCAGAAATGGCGAGAATTCGCCTGATAAAAGTATTGCACAGTGACCACGACTATGCAGCCGAAAAATGTGGGAAGAAAGGAACCTCTATGTCTGAGATTTGTGTCTAGAGGTCAGAGATGGTAGTGGTGGTGGGTGGTCTGAATGTATGTGGGTGTGTGTGTGTATGTCTCGGCAAGAGAGGAAGAGAAAAGTGAGAGATATGAGAGAGAGAGTGGGAGTGATGAAGAGAGAAAGAAAAATGAAGAATAGGAAGGGGGAGAGAAGGTTCACGGGACCAAAAGAACACCCCAGAAATGGGGGAAACATATGCCACGTGTCAGCCAAGGAAAAGCTTAAAGTGGAGAAATATTTACAATTGTGAAATTTATCAAAATGCCCTAAACATTAAAAAATTCATAGAAGTTTCGTTTTAACTCCAAATTCGATTCCGTTCACGCTTACGTGTTCGAATCGATGAGTGCTACGGAAATAAAATAAAAGAAAAATTCCTACATGTCAACGGAAGAAAATAAATGGAAGTCAATGTTTTTGTCGTTAGGGGTATTTTTGTAATTTTACCTAATTAAAACGTAAATTTTAAGACGGGTTGTTGCAGCTGTAGTAAAGTTATAAGGATAGGAAGATAACTCGGAAGGTAATACATCTAGCTCAAAAGAAAAAGGACCAGGTGCAGGATTTTCCATGTTCCTCCCGGATCCAAGAACTAGTTTGTTCATCGTAAGCATTTTGTTTCCAAGCTCAGCACCCAGCAGCCAAGAAGCTCTGCCATATAACAACAGATGAATTAAATGCATCTGTTATGACAAAGGTCCCATTGTCAAGAAGCTCTGCTACACCAGAATTAGAGACCTTTGAACCCGAATTAGTTGACCATACTACAACATTGGCGGGGCTACTTAAGGTCAAGTTTCCATTTCGAGAAGCTCCAATGCCAAAAGATTTGGTGCAGAAACAGGTTGGTTTCTGTTTGCAACCCAAACGACGGTCTTAATGGGTAGTGGATCTGTGTACCAAATGCCCATGTAATAGTTTTGAGATGTACCTGGTATGAAGAACCCGAGCTCAAATGTTCCACTTGGAGAGGTGATTGTTTCTTCCCCAGAGAGAGATTGGCCCGCCCAGAGAGAGATTGGCCCGGAGAGACGATGTGAGACGCCGTGGAAATACAAGCAATGAAGGTACAACGTAACAAAAACCTCAATGTATAGTATAGTAGAATTTTCATATCCATCTCTTGATAAAATTGCAACAAAAGAGTTAGATTTGCTGCAAACAGAAGCCAAAACTTGTCCTTCGTTTTGAAGTTAACTACAAGTCAGTTTTTTCCCAACGCAACTTTCAAAATAAGCAGCTTTTTCCCCACTTAGTGGGAAAAGGCTTTGTTGTTGTTGTTGTTATTGTCTCTAAAGTCGACGCTGTATGTTTTGCAGGAAGGTTCTTTGTCCAAAGTTCATATTCTCTTCCTCATCGTAGTTCAAGTCCAACGCAAATACTCACTTGCCTTAGAGGAGATTCAGTTAATAATATGCTTTAAAAGCCAATCATAAGATAATGTTTTACCTACATTTAGTATATTTTGGAAAATCTCACATAAGAGAGGTCCTTGTTATCTTTTTCTACTCACGTTTACGCATGCACGTAAGAGAGGTGTGAAAATTTTGTGTCCACTTCGAGGACCATGTCATCCATACGCCCACTCACACAACTAAGCGAGACTGCCTTTGTATTGGGGACCACACTAGCCCGATTTCACCAATCCCAGTGTAGGCTGTTCACTTGGTTGTGTGGGCCTACGAATAGCATCACCCTCTGAGTAGACACAAGAATTTCAACAGTGTCCTCTGTGAGTACATTGATTCTAGCTACCAATCCCAATGAAAAGAATATACGAGAACAAATTAAATTATTGCAACTACACCTGAAGATCAACAATATATAACAAGCATAGATAGATTATAAATCTTTGGTTCGGTGCATGAAATCTGCATTCAGATTACATAAAACATATAATTTGCCTCGTTATCAAACAAGCATGTCTACAAAAACTTCACCGCGAGAAAACTTGGTTATATGATTGAAACAACAGATTCAGACCTAAGGTCCTGAGATGGAAGCACCAAGGGCAAAAATCGTTATCAATGCCTAAAGTGCCTAACGTTTGTGAAAAGAAGTGAAACTCCATACTTGTTACAGCAGTCTATGGCATCCCCATCTCTAATGCTCCCACCGGGTTCAGCAATTACACTAACTCCGCTTTCGCAGGCTTCTTCCACTGCATCTTTCCATGCTGTGTCCATAAGAAATTGATCGCATTAAGCTTCCTCTTGCACTCCACTCTTAAATAACATAACCAAAAGTTAATGCATGAGCTAGTAATTACCGAATGGGAAGAAGGCATCGCTGGCCAAAGCTGCACCCTTGACCTCTTCTCCAGCTTTCTTCAGGGCTATTCGTAAACTCTCCAGGCGGTTCGGCTGCCCACTCCCCATGCCCAGCATGCAGTTATTCTGCTCATAGTCAAAGATCAGATATTTGTAGAAGTACCATCCAATTCACACAAAGCGGCATACCAACAATATAATAAATGTGAACAAGGCGAGATTTTGAAAGGTTAAGCAAAGAAAGACGACCTTTGCTATTACAATTGCATTGCTTTTGACATGCTTGACGCACAACCATGCGAACTCTGCATCAGCAAGCTCACTTTTTTGTGGAGCCTTCTCAGAAACAGCTTTAAACTGTATATCCTGGGGGGTCAAATCATCCGAGTCCTGGGCTAACCACCCACCACCAACCTGTCTAAGTGAAAGCTTTCCCTTCTCATTTTTTCTTGCCTCAAGGATTCTTAGAGTCTTTGATTTTCCACGGAGGATTTCTAGCCCTTTCTTTGTGTACTTGGGTGCAACCACAATCTCATAAAACATCCGGGTTTCGCCATCTGTTGGGCTTCTAAACTCTCGAATTTCCTTAGCAAGAGCCTAGAAACACAGACAAAAAAGGACTTAGGAAACAGAGCAAACCACAAAACACGTAAACATATTACAAAGTTAAACTTCTCAGGGCTAGTATCAGTTGGTATTCAAGTTGTCCAATGTGCACACGCTGAATTATCACTGAAAAGAAAGTGGTTCAGCTAGCCATTCAAGTCATGGCTCAAGTGGTAAAAAAATTTCTTTTCAGAAAAAAAATAGTTTCAAATAAAAGAATAGCAATTTAGTGATGGCCAGTTTTAAAAGGTGCATAGTAAACTGCTCCCATCTCATATATAAATTTGAGGTCAGACCCTTTAAACTCCAACTAACCTCATCAACCTCTATGTTGAACGCTACAATGCCACCAAATGCACTCACGGGATCTGCTTTGACAGCAAGCCTGTATGCTTCAAGAATATCATCACGTGAAGCTACACCACAGGGATTTGTATGCTTTACAACTACACAGGTAGGACTTTGAAACTCTGACACACAATTCCAAGCCGCATCAGCATCTAAATAGTTATTATATGACATTTCCTGCAAGCAGAAACTAAAAGATTTAAAGAGGATGAGATCTGATTAATTTGTAAACATTCAAAAGCGGGTCCAGTTATGATATAAAGGTTTCCCCACCAACATAAATGCCGCTAACAATTCAGAAAAATAAGGATGCATGGTCATCCCTATCAATTCTTTAAGTGGAATCCAATAGCTAAAAGAAGATGTCTATCTTACCTTCCCATGGTGTTGGATAGCAGTTGCAATACCACCAGCATTCACCTCAGAAAGACTCTTGTCAACATAGAATGCAGCCTTCTGATGAGGATTTTCACCATAACGAAGGGGACTTTTGAGCAACATAGGCACCGTTAAGCTCTGCGGGAATTTATCTTCCAAAAAAAAAAAAAAAAAAAAAGTTTGTCAATCTATGCATCCCATCACAAAAGACACACAAGAAAATTAACTTAAGTCAATTTTCCTAGAAACTACTATCTCCCCCTCACCCCCATGGTCTTTTCCCCTCCATCCCGAGGTAATTCCTCGCGCTATATCATGAACATCAAAAACGTGATTGAAGATATTATTGCAATCTACTTGATAAATCTGTCTTCTCTCTTCAAGGTCATTTACAGCTAACTCCTAATTCATTTTTTATAAATATCAAATTGTTGACTCAATAGATTGCAACCAACCTGGTAATTTGGCATGTGTGATTCTAATATCTACTTAGATATTAAATGCACAACTTACAAAAGTCAAGCTAGAGTCTAGAATGCATAGTTCACTGTTAATCCTTGCCTTATCAAAGCAAATTTATAACTAAAAGCAACATCATGAAAGACATAGTACCTTCAGAAGTCTGCTTCCAAAGCCATTCAGAAACTGCAGAATCATAAGAAGCAACATGTTGGAAAGCCTTCCATGCAAGCTTCCTTCGGAATTGTTGATCATCCTTGTCTCCCTTAAGAAACTCTAGAAGTGCGGGATAGTCTTCTGAATCAACCACCACCAAGACATCTTTGTGATTCTGTTTGACAAACATATTTAACTTGGAACATCAGATAAAGATATTGAAACAAAATCAGGTACGACTCGTGATGTAAGGATTGAGAAAGCACATTATGAGCAATACATTGAACAATAGCTACATTAAACAACAATATCAATGTGTATCAGGATAGCACCAAGGATGCAGTACGGAGTTCATATCTAGATATCTACCAAATGAGATTCACTTTGATGAATAAAAGATGACAAGTTCGATGAAAATATTTTATTCATGACAATGATTCTGAAAAACTCAGTGCATTGGAAAACCTATCATGAATCATGATCTATAAAATTATTGAACAACAATATGCTAGAACTTCCATTCAGATAAACAACCTTTGCAGCCGCTCTTATCATGGCTGGACCACCAATATCTATATTCTCAATTCCATCTTCAAACTCTATTTCCCTTGTTGAAGTAACTTTCTCGTAAAAGGGGTACAAATTCACCACAACTACATCAAATGTACCTGAACAAACATTGTGTAGAAAAATTATTAAAGCTCTAGCTTATTCCACACATACAGAGCATGAGAGAGAGAGAGAGAGAGAGAGAGAGTCGTGCAGGCATGGTAAAAGAGTTTGCAGCAGAACTCACCAATTCCGTGCTTACTAAGAGCTTCCATGTGATGCTTTTGGTCTCTTCTAGCAAGGATACCCCCATGCACATTGGGGTGTAAAGTTTTTACACGACCATCAAGCTGCAACACAAAATCTCAGTCATGTTTTAATTCACATAATAGAGTTAATATCCCCAAATCAGATATTTCACAATGCGGGTTACCAAGCAAGCAAAGTCTCTCTCGTGTCATTTCCAAACAAGAAAAATAACCGGCTTACCATCTCCGGGAAACAAGTAAGTTGTTCCACCTTAGTGACGGGGCAGGCCAGCACTTTCTAAAGCAGATGCCGTTCCTCCAGTCGAAACAATTTTATATCTACAGTTTTAGAAAACAACCATCATCAAAAACATATCACACTCACCATTTAAGCTAAAACATAAGCGTTTAATATATCCTACTTGAATAATGCAATTGAAAATATAATTTGAAGCTGCGTAACAGGTAAAAGACAACGATCTATAAAAAGAGCTCCTTAATACAAAATGTTGGAGACATTACGAAGCAATCGTCCTTAGAAGAACTGCGAAATTACCCCAAGTTCCGAAGGCCATTCCCTAAGATAGCAAGATCCTTCTTGTCTGACAATGATATCAGAGCCTGCCTATCACCTGAAACTCACACAAAGTCTCTCTCTTGAATTATATTTCTAATGAATATATTGCATAATTATTTTTTAAAAGCACAAAAATTAAATTATCAAACAAACACAAAAGGAGCATACCAGAAAGGGGCGAGGGAGGGTTAGTGACTGAAAGGGTCTCCTCAGTCGCCGCCATGGCTTTAATTGTTCTGCAACTTGAGTGCAAATTCCTCCCTGAGCAACACTGTATACACCAACAACCACACATATATGATATATATATATATATATATATATATATATATATGAATAATAATATGACGAGAAATAGAGAAAGTGCATACCGTGAAAGAGAAGGAGGAATTGGTTCGTATTTGGGCGTTGGAGGATAACAGGAGAAGACTGGTGGTGTTTGGAATAAGACAAGAATTTGTGGTGGTGGTGGAGTTAGGTGGCGTTGCGGCGGCCGGAGAGGCAGTCAGACCGAGCATCTCTCTTACTGTGAGAGAGAGAGAGAGAGAGAGGACTGTGGTGGGTGGACGGTGGACGGTGGCCGGGTGGCTTTCGGCGGCAAACTTGAAAGTGAGATTCTGAAAGGGTTTCGACAGTCCTTTTTAGCGCGATGCGACGCAGCAAAACGAAAACTCAGCCGTCAGTCTAATCCAAAGGCTGAAAAATTAAAACGCCACCTGCTTTGGATAAATGACTGACACGTGGAGTGAGCCTTGTATTAGGATTACACTTGGGCGTGAACTAATTAGGACTCCCCTTTAAACAACGATTTGCTGCCATAGAAGGATTAAACATTAATTTGCAGCCATAGAAGGATTAAAAATCGATCGATCCCGGTCGCAGGGGATTTGGGCGTGAATGGCGATTTCTGCGATTTTTTAGTTTTTTTTTTAATATAGTTATATATAAATTATTAACGGTGTTAATTTTAGAATTAATTGGGGAGACACATGTCCAAAAACCATTAAAGAGGCACAAAGGAGACATGAAATTGAGGACAACAAATCCTTGGCCAAGTCTGTAGTGTGGATTGAGGACCCTTTACGTGGAATAGGTTGAAAAGAAAGTGGATCGGATCGTGTTTTTTCAAATGAAAGTAGCAACCATTCTGGTGTATATGATTCATCGAGCATAAAAAATCAAACTCAAAAAATACCGTACAAAACACGAACCTAAAACTCGTCTTAACAATTAGGCCATCTTGTAGTTTTGTAGTGGTTGTTATGGGTTTTAGGATAATTTTTCTAAACGTCATATGAGTCATATCTAATATTTGATTGTTCTGGATGTAAATGGTAGTTTAATGTTCCATGTTTATTTAAGTCATCTATGCAGTGGGATGATGATCCATTTGACTAAAGTCTAAAGCGGTCGTTGATGTAGATTGGGTTTTGCTTCTCTGGTTATACTAGGCTGGAAATTTTTTCTGAAAAATCCCAAACCAAACCAAAAAGATCTCGATCCCATATCGAAAAATTCTTAAACTGATAATATCAAAATTTTGAGATTCATACCGAACCGATTGCAAACCTTTCAGTATGAGAATCGGGATTGCATATTCAATAATTCGAGAATCCCGAACCGAACTGAAAAAAAAAAATATATATATATATATATATATATATTTATTTATTTTGGTTGTGTGCTTGTTGAATGTTGAATTTAAGTAGTTTGATAGTAGACTATATTAGAAATAGAAATACGAAATTAAGTAGTTCAGAACTTTGGAACATGAATTTAACTTGGTATGAATGAATTGGTATTTTAATTGGTACAAGGTTAAAACCTAAATTTCAATTGATATGAAATTGGGGAACAAAATTTTAGGCAAAAGTCCAAATTTAAGTCCATGGCCCAAGAATATCAAATTTCAACCCAAAATCGAAATCCAATGACAATCCATCCCAAAATACCGAAAATATTTCGGGAATCCCAAAAATTGAAAATACCGAAATCCAATGGCATCCAATGTTTCAGGGTGCAAATGCAACCAATCCTTCAAGTTCTTCATGAGTGACCTAAAGCATTCTGTGAATCCACTTTATATACCTGAGACTTGAGTCCATTATGCAACTTTATAACAATGCAAAGGAGTTACAGCACCAGAATCCAATCACCGAAACACATAAACAAAAACGTAGTGTCAAACAAAAAGAGAACCATCCCAAACCAAAAGCAACATATGAGCGAGAAAGGAAACCAAATCGGAATTCATCCAAACACAAAAATAAGGGAGGACGAAATTCCAAACTTGTGTCATTCCAAAATCTGCCCTACTACTGAAACTTTCACTTTCAACCAGCATTATACACAATGTTTGAGGAAGAAGGCTACAATGTAAGTGATAGTGACTTCTCCTAGTCAGCATAGAGGACTATTACATATCATCAGAATTACCTGTTCAAAACTTCTTCCAACACCCACTAGAGCTACTGCTTGCGATTCAAATTACCTAAGGCCAAATACGATTCGATAACTAGGTGAACAAAAACTCGGCACGTTAATGTAGAAAAAACCTTTCAAGGGTTGTCGACCCCAATTTCTCCCCACCCACTGCTGCTTCGGATGTACTTATCAACGATGCCAAATTCTTGGTTCTGAGCAACTCGCCTGGCATAATTCTCAACAGAAATTAGGCCTTTTTTCACCCTCCTGTAATTAATAACCTCCCATGGCCACAAGCGAGCAGAACCAAAGTAGCCCTCCATGGGTAAATGCCTTTCACTTTCTTCTGGAAGTTCCAGGCCATAGTGCTTCAAAACCGTACACAACTCATCTGAGGATATGCTTGTTGAACGACCGGTGGTGCGGTAGATGGGGGTTTCTGAAGCTGGCTCCTTTGATTGAGATGGTACATGTCCAATCATCAGTGCATTAGAGTTTTGACGATCCTGAACATCACTCAAACCCTCCGGGGACAAACTCCCAGTAGTATGAGAGCCTATCTCTGGCAGAGGTGTGCCCGGATTTGTTACTTCATGGATTGACCTGGACATAGTATGGTTTTCCCCATCACCATTCATCTGCAAAGGATGGTCATTTTTCGTGTCAACTTCTGCTTCAAAACTTGATACTGCATGACTGCTCTTTATCGCATCCATTGTATTTTCATCATCAGCCTTCTCGATGCAGGCATCGCCTTCTACTGGCTGTCTCTGTTTAACCTGAATCTCCTTGGATTTGGGAGTACCAGCAGAGGCTTTAATATTTGTATGCGCCTTATTTGAAGAGAATGGTGACGGACTAAGCGATACAGACAAGGATATAGAGGAGCTTGACCTTGACCTAGACTTTGAACTTTTTGATGTTGAAAGGAGTCTTGAATCATAAGATACAGAGTGGTGTTCTCCCCTAGATGCTGAGTTTGACCTAGATTGGGAACCAGACCTTGTCACAGACTTTGACGATTGAGAAGTTGAGCATGATCTGAGTCTGGACGCAGCATAACGAGAATGAGGTGATGATGAAACTGACCTCCTTGCTTTCTTACCACCATGCCCTTTTGGCGATTCACCTTCCCTTCTACTTCTCTTCTTTCCTTCATGGTCCTTTATTTCTGTAATGTTGTTTTCATTTCCCGTAGGGGAGCTCACATTGTCTGTCACCATTTTATGCTTTCCTGAACCACTTGCCATTCCACCATTCATGTGCCTTGATGCAGTACCCTCAGTCAACTGCATTTCTCCCACGGACCTAGATCCCATCCTTTCTAGCTCAGCTTCACCTCTACTTCTTTCATATGCGGCATCATCTTGCCTATTATCAAACTTTGTGAGCTTTCTTCCAGAAGAATATTTCCTGGGACAATTTCGGATCTTGTGACCTGATGCCCCACAACTAAAGCAAGTACTCCGCATATCACTGGAATGGTTCAAAGTAGTACAATTCATTCGCTTTATCCTCACATTCTCTTGGGAACTTCGTGGAGCAAAACCACCACCAGAATATGCCATCCGACAGTTTTCATCTTCATATTTCCTATCGTGATCTTGGTGAGGTTCATATCGGTCAAATTCCACCCCATTGGCGTTTGATGGGTCATGAACTTGTTCACCCCACCTGCCAGTGTCCACCAGCTTGGGCACAGCTCTACCAATATCATCTGGAAGACCTTCCCTAAAATCATGACGATCTCCATTATAATCTTGAATATCTCCTCGATGATCACCTCTGTCATCATCGCGCATGTTCACAGAATTAAACCTTCTACCATCACTATCTGGTTGCTCATTATCCAATTCGTAATCTTGCCAATCATTTTCATTCATTCTTCCCTCATGTTGTAGCTCATAGGAGCTCACACCTCTTGGATTTCCGTGAAAAGGTTTAGGCTGTTTTCTTGACCATGTTAGTGTTAAGTGCTCCCCACAGATCTTCCTACCCTGTAATGCTCTCAAAGCTTTCTTAGCATCTTGCACAAAATCATATTCAACAAACCCATATCTGTCCTTCAGCCGCAAGTTACATCGTCCAAACCTCCAAAAGACATGTTTAAGATCATCTCCGCGAGTGTGAGCTGATAGATTGCCAATATGCAAAGACATCTGGACGCCCCTCCCCTTGTCGAACAAAAACAAAATAAATAAGGTACAAACACGAGAAGTGTAGTCACTTTTTCGTGAGAAAACAATCGTGCACACATCTAACGAAATTTATGCATAAATTTGCACTTGGCATTAAAAAAGCTAGTCCGAAACACAGATTTCGACTAAATATTCAACTGATTAATGCATAAATACAACACAATCGTCCATTTCACAACAGTTTAATACGTCAATAACGAAATAAACCAAAATCTTTCTCAATAAAAACCCTCATCAACCCAATATTATATCTCATACTCGATTTGACTTCCAATGAGGACGAAGAACAAAAACTAAAATTAACTTTAACATCTTGAAACCTGAAGACCTAATAGCTTCGTACATTTATGATTTGAAGTACAGTAAAAAAATTACAAAAAAAATAGGAAAATCGAAAATATACTATCTCATAGGCATTAACAGTAACAACAAAAGCAGTAAAAATTCAACTAAGCTCAGCGCCTGGGCACACCAGAACAAAAAAAAAAACATTTCTGAAGAATTTCATCAAACAGTTGGTAGGCGCGCAAAATCAATGGCAGAAACCCTAACGGAAGAGAAAGATAAATAGTGCGATGAAGAATATTTACCGTGTTAGAGCGGTAAACAGAGGTGGAATGGCCGTCGCGTCGTTGCCAAACAGGAGCGCTCGCTCAGTGCTCTCTCCGTCTCTCTCTTCTTTCTTTCTCTAGAAGGAAGGATGGAAGGATCAAAAAGGAAGAGGGAAAGGTGAAAGCGCGTCCCAGTCACTCGCGAGTTGATGCGAATGGAGAGAGAGATAGTAAGAGCCTTGGCCATAAAGGACCCCGACGAGTCCAAAAAGTAAGTCAGTCTTGCATTTTTATCGTATTCGGGTAGACGAGACGATTCAGTGTTCTCCTTGGGCTTTCTAAAGTTTCGGGCTTGCCTGCGAGTGTTTCTCCAAAATAAGGGCTAATTAGATATTGTTGTAAGTGTAGGTTCAAAAAATTGAAAATCGAACCGAATTGAAATTGAAAAAATCAAACAAAACAAAAAAATCAAACCGAAAAAAAAAATGAACCGAACAGAATTTAGTTGGTTTGGTTTGGTTTCTGAATTTCAAAAACCAAACCTAACTGAAATGTTGTAAAAAACGAGGCCATTTTATATTTAGTACTGGAAACGGCGTGTCGTTCTAAAAGTTTGTATTCGTATTGGTCTTGGTCGACGACGTCATTCAGTGACTTCAGTTTAAAATCCTAAAGCTAAACATTGATCCCTCATTCCCTCTGACGGTACTCTGGACCCTCTCCTTCTCAACCTTCACCGCTCCGCGCACCCTCTGTCAAGTCTCAACACAATCAGTCTTCGTCTTCTTCCTTCCCAGCGAGCTGCAACTTCCTCTCAGTCGCCATCTCACTTTCAGTCTCTCACCCCCGTGACCCGTGATCTAGCTCCAAAGGGGAAATCTTGTGCTAATTATGCTCAATGTGTAAATCAGCTTTTACAAAGCCTAAGCAGTACGCAGGTACCATTGTTCATCCAAATCAGTTTACATATTTCGACCTGTTTGTGTAATCTACTTTTGAAGCTCATTGGGTTTTCCATTCTTGTTATGTTATATTGTAGTTGTGGTTGCGGCCTCCATTGGTCAAGTCAGACAGTGAAACCATGGATGTGAACACTGATACCTCGGTGAGTGATGTCCCTTCTGATTAAGTTTTCAAAGAGGGAGGTCAGGTCAGGTGTGGAGAGTTGCCTCTTTTTTATTGTGCATTCAATTCGGTAGTCAAACTTATATGGGGCTTAAACCTTCTGCATGAACTTGGCCTTCTTCGTGCGTGTAAAATAATGGCATGATTATTGACAATTTGACATACCGGATGATAAAACTCATTTTTCTGAACTTTTTTTTGCAGGATGATTCTTGGGAGATTTGGAATTCATTTCGTCTGCTATGTGAACATCACAGTCATTTATCAGTTGCTCTTGATGATTTGTAAGTGTAACAATGACCATTTTCTTATAACTCGTGTTGTTGTCTAGTTGTTATGTTTCTGTATCCATGGTGGTTTTGTTTCTGGTGGTTCTGTTTCTGTATCCATGGTGGTTTCGTTTTTGGTGGTTATGTTTCTGTATCCATGGTGGTTTTGTTGTCTAGTTTTTCAATGTGATTGGAGATTCAAAAGGATTTGGCTTCTCGGCCCTTCTACTTCTCATATACTCTCATCCCCTCTTATTTGTGCGGTTACGGTTAAGCCACGTCAACATTTTATATTACTATTGCTTTTTGTCTTATTATCTGTATACAAAAATCAATATAAAATGTTAACATGGCTTAATCGTGACAGCACAAAATAGGAGGGGATGAGAGCGTATGGGAAGTGGGAGGGAAGAGAAGCCCGGTTTGATTCAAAATGTCCTATTTCTGACACTTGGTGGCAAACTGAAACTGGTGGCTTCAAGGTATTGTCTCAACAGATTGTGCATCTCTGATATTTTAACATTCACTTTTATTTCTCAGCTTTTAAAAAGGAAATTCTTTTAATGTTTTAGTGTTGATGCTCTTTTTCTTTCTTGATTCTATTTATTGACCAAATTATTTTGTACTAACTTGTCAAAGTGAATTTGTGTCGTCTATTGTATTGCTAGAAAGAAATTGAAACTGTGGGAAAGCATCTTTGTTCGATTGTTTATGGTTCCCATCCACCTGAGACTCGAACAAGACAGGTACTAGTTCCTTCCTGTGTAATTAAAATGTTCATTGCATCCACTTCTAGATGTCAGTTTGTTCCACTTCTAGATGTCAGTTTGTGGTTTAGTATGGTGTTGCTTGTCTTCTAACTGGGTGAGGTTGCTATACTGCAGAGTGCTGGATTATTTCCTACCTTTGAGCTCATGTATATCATTATATGTATTTACGTTTACAACCAGAATGCGGCCTCTACCAAATATTGGTTGAACTTTGTTATGTTTATTTTAGGTGTGGAAGACTTGAAGTGTGATGTTTATTTTAAATTTGGACTTTTTGAAGACTTAAACTTTGATGTTTATTTGAAGTTTGAACTTTGGAAGACATGATTAATGATTCTAGTTGAACTTTAAATGTTTATTTTCATTGTGTTTGACTCTAGTTGGAATGCTTATGTTATGATTGTGTTGGAAATGTTAAAATTTCAAATTTCAATTGTTTTCATTCAAAAAAAAAAAAAAACAAAACCAATCGAAACCGAACCAAAAAAAAATGAACCGAACCAAAATTTCGGTTCGGTGTCAATGTTGGCAAAAAACAGAACCGTTTCGAACTGAACCTAGCCCTATATTGCTGTGCTTTTTTTTTTAATGTTGCTTTTGTTGTACTATGAGAATAAACAGTTGTAAAATAAAGTTGTCTAGTATTTGATATTTGTAAAAGTGATTTTACAACAAAAAAATTGTGTCTGATTATTGATAACTTTTATATAAAACTGTTGTGAATATGTTAAATTACTAAAAAGAATATAGTATTTAATGTGATATCATAACTGTTAAAAAGAACAATACAGGGGCAAAGATTGTAGTCTTAAAATATGGCGGGTTATACTTGCCATTTGAAATTTTCATTTTTAGGTACTGTTCACTATGCTTTGAAAATAAAAACACTTTTCTAGAAGCAGGATACCTCACTGCTTATGTCTTTATGTACTTTTCTACTACCATTGACATCAGTTTTTTAAATAAACACTTTTTTTGTTTTACCAAATACATATGGTGTTCTAGATTTTTTAATAACTAGTTTATTTTTTTAAGCACCACAACTTCAAACCAACCCAAAATGCGTAATAACCCTACTTAACATAGAGAGCAACTTACATGGACTACAATCAATACGACCATGGCATTCCAATCTAATAATGCATTATCATCTAGAGAAAAAACTTATACATAACAATACATATTGCACCAAAATACCTTGTTACTGTGGATCCGTTCGATGTAAATTGTTCTCCCTAACACGACCAATTGTGATCGGGTCACCACCACACTCCTTGATCCAATAGCAGTTTTGGGCCAATAAAAGTAATCACAACCCAATAGGCCCAAACATGAAAACCCACAAAGACAAAATAACAGTGTCTGTTGTTTTGAAGACAAAGTAAAAGTTAAACTTGCAAACAAACAGTCCTCCTAATTCCCAAAATTCCAAAAAATCCCAACCCATCATCTTTCTTCATAACCTATCAAAATCCCTCTGCCCTCAAGTCTTTCCCCTTTATTCCCACTTTTGCCTTCAACGCCTTACTCTCTCTCCAGATTCTCTCATATTCCTCACTCTTCGACGGCCTCCGCCCTCTTCCGATACCTCTCGCTTCCGTTAGATCTCGGCACACCCACCTGAGAATCCAACCACCCACCCACCCAACTGATCATCATCATCATCCATGACGCTGGGCTCAGGAGGATCGAGTGTCGTGGGTGAGTTTATCATTACCCAAGTCATCGTTTGATCGAATTTTGCCTTGATCTTTTTGTTCTTGTGTAATTTTGATCGATTGTGCAAATGGTTTTTTGTTGATTTTGTGGTTTATGGGTTTTTTGATATGATTTCGCATGTGGGTAGGTGAGTTTGGCCTTTAGTTGATTTAATTATTGCATTTTCCAGCTGGGTTTTTTTGTTGCGTTGAATTGAATTGTGTTTCCCTAATGTTTTTTAATTCGTTTAATTGCAATCAAAATATTGAGCTCATTTCTGAATAATTTTGCGCATGCAGTATTTGAACTTTGAAAGGTAAGATTGAACTTTGTGTTTGTCTTTGAAATATAGAGTGTATTTATGAGGAAAAGATCAATTTTTTTTTGTATATTCAAATTTGTATTTTGTATAAATTATAAACCAAAGTAGTTTTTGTCTTCGAACTTTTTTTCTTCTAATTATTGTCCATTGAAATTTGAAGCTGCCAACTAATGTTCCCGCTCAATCCAAGCATGTTTTGGTTTCTCTGCATACAAGTTTTTGGTTGTGTTTGTGTTTATCATTCCTAAAACTGTACAACAACAACAACAACAACAACAAAGCCTTTTCCCACTAAGTGGAGTCGGCTATATGAATCCTAGAACGCCATTGCGCTCGGTTTTGTGTCATGTCCTCCGTTAGATCCAAGTACTCTAAGTCTTTTCTTAGAGTCTCTTCCAAAGTTTTCCTAGGTCTTCCTGTACCCCTTCGGCCCTGAACCTCTGTCCCGTAGTCACATCTTCGAACCGGAACGTCAGTCGGCCTTCTTTGCACATGTCCAAATCACCGGAGCCGATTTTCTCTCATCTTTCCTACAATTTCGGCTACTCCTACTTTACCTCGGATATCCTCATTCCCAATCTTATCCTTTCTCGTGTGCCCACACATCCCACGAAGCATCCTCATCTCCGCTACACCCATTTTGTGTACGTGTTGATGCTTCACCGCCCAACATTCTGTGCCATACAACATCGCTGGCCTTATTGCCGTCCTATAAAATTTTTCCTTGAGCTTCAGTGGCCTACGACGGTCACACAACACGCCGGATGCACTCTTACACTTCATCCATCCAGCTCGTATTCTATGGTTGAGATCTCCATCTAATTTTCCGTTCTCTTGCAAGATAGATCCTAGGTAGCGAAAACGGTCGCTTTTTGTGATCTTCGCTAGATTGCTCCGGTCATTAGTGTGGATAAGTATATAAAAGGATAGAGATAGGAAAGCAAACACAAGATGTACGTGGTTCACCCAGATTGGCTACGTCCACGGAATAGAAGAGTTCTCATTAATTGTGAAGGGTTTACACAAGTACATAGGTTCAAGCTCTCCTTTAGTGAGTACA